GTACTTAATTTTTGGAATCTGATTACATAATCCAGATTACATGCACTGCATAAACAGCACTGCATATTAGTGAAGTCTGTCTTTTAGAAAGAGAGGAACGACATCTCTCACCCTGTTGGGTGGTGATCTGAGCACCCCCTGCTGTCATGAACTCCACATTGCCAAGCTGCAGAACTCCAGACAGCAGTTTAAACATATCTCTGATCTCTTCCTCTGTGAACTCCATGTCCTTCAGAGCCTCCTGCAGACGAAAAGAGAAAGAGAGAATGAATCATCATGCTGCACTTAGATTTTTGTCCACCTCAAGAATGTTTATTATCAGATCAACAAAACTCTATTCAAATAGTTTGTACCATGACATCATCAAAAAGCTGCTTGTCATCAAGACTGCGGTCCTTCACACATCCTGACTGACTCAGGTAGTGAAATAACTCAGGGGAGTCTTCCAGAAAATATGTCTCTAAAAAGAGATGGACATATCTAATCATTCAGTGTATTTAGGTTGATGATGGTACATCTGCATTTGTGAACGTGTTTAAATGCATGTGTGTTTATGTGGATTGTGTATTCATTCACCCTTTTGGCTTTTGCTTGCCCCGGCCAGCAAAGCATAAAAGATATGGTAGTTTCTCTCCCCTGGATTCTGCCTTACCACTCGATTCTGGAACACAGATCAGATCACAGATGCTGAGTGGGCGAGAATCTCACTTTGGCAGACACTCTTTCTCTGCAAAATGGCGGAGTGATTCTGACTTTCACAAGATATCCAGTGCCATATCGTATTAACAGAACAATGGCTTGTTTTATACTGTGAGCAGCTGATCACAGAAGACTGATTTCTGGTTGTTAGGTTTGAGTCAGCAGCAGAAGGAAGGTTTACCTTTTCAAGCAAATCTGAAGGGTCAAATGTTAAGGAAAATGCAGACAGTTGAAACAGCAGCTTGCAGTACACTGTACCGTGAATATGTTTAAGCATGAGGAAAAACAAATCCTGGTTACCAAGTTACCCATTCATTTCAAAGAAAAAATAAGAAAACCTGTGTTAACAAACTGACTGGCAATTTTCAATACCTGCCAAAACTTGAAATGGTTGATGTGCACTCTATTTCAGTGAAAATAAATGAGTAACTATTGTAACTAGGATTTTCTGACACTTAACTGCATGTTATTTGCAATTAAATGAAAATGTCTTATAATTTAAAATTATATTAATGCAATTAGTTGAACTTAGAGTGATTTTTTGACCTACCAATGTAAGACTAAATACACATTTGTAATTATCAATTTGCAAATTAGTACATTTTAATTATATTAACTTTAAATGTAATATTAAATACAGGTAAAATTTTGAATTTGTGCACAAAGTGCACTTTTAAAAGTGTACATAAATGTGTTAAGAAACAGTCATGAAGGTATATTCTTCTTCAAGTATACACAAGTGGCCTTTTATTTGACTAATATTATATTATATTATCTACAAGTTTTTTTAAAATATACTTTTAAGATTAAAAGTACACTGCAAGTGCACATTCAA